GTGAATGGAAAGTTTAGATTGAACTGTAGCCATATTCTGAAGAAGGGAACAACTTTTTTAGTGTGAAATCACATTCTGTTTTATGGAATTTTCCAGAAATAACACTCTCTCTCTCTCTCTCTCTCTCTCTCTCTCTCTCTCTCTCTCTCCCTCCCTCCCTCCCTCCCTCCCTCCCTCCCTCCCTCTCTCCCTCTCTCCCTCTCCCTCTCTCTCTCTCTTACACACACACACACCCCTTTATTACTATCAATAGGTAATTTTTAAAAATACATTAAAGTCAAAGTACATATCATCTTGCGTGAGTTAATGAAAAGTGGGAAAATGAAAGTTTGAAGATAGGAGAACATTCTGGAATAGAGTAAGAGCATGGGTCAAAATTTCCATTTGTTTGAGCAAAGCTGAGGTTCCTTTCCTTCACATGCTGCTTATGGTCCACCCAGGGCTACCTATTGTGTGAGGCAAAGTAAAGAATTAGATCAATCCTTTGAGTCCCATAATTAGTCTTCTGATATTTCTTGTGTCTTAATCTTTTAGTCGTTTTGTTTACTCTTGGATGAAAATATGATATCCATATCTGAGTGCATTTGTCTATGGACCAATCAGTTTTAAATTTAATTTGATAAGGCAAAATTTAAAATGTGTAACTATAAGCCAGAATAAATCAATTCTATGTTGTGGCTCCTTAAATGTTAGAAATATATCCTCTTCCATAAATTACATTATCTTTATTTGCTTCTCTTGTACTTTAGCCTTTCTGCTCTATTGCTTGTCATACTTGAAATATCCTGTCTCCAGCCAAGTCATAAAATTATAGGATCCTGGAGTACTATATTGGTCTAATCTGATTTAGACTGGGGGTTGGGAGGAACAGATCTTTAAATGCTGTGCTATCTCAAAGAAAATAAAACAAATATAACAGTTCAATCCAGTCCTGGCTGCCTGTTTCCTCTTTGAAAATGAACTTAAATCTAAAATATTGTATTTTATATTATTTATATTAAAAGATCCCTTATATTAAAATGACATAAAACTTCCTTCTACACATCTGTGTTAAGCAGAATGCAGTTACATATAACCTGTCATCAAAAGGGATGGGAAGTTACCATTTTAGTATGAATGTAATTTGCATTTTGAAATTACTGTACTGTCTGAAATCTAATTATGCTTTAAAACTAATAACCTTTTTGAATTTAAAATAATATGTACATGTTCCTTTTAGGAGAAATGTATATAAATGCTTATGATTTAAGCAGGTTCTTTTTTCAAATTGGTGCAGCAATAGACAAAATAAATTTAAGCTTGCAAAAATAAGAAAGTGAACAAAATTAAATTTATTATCTTTTCCCCTCTCCAAAAATAGATTCTTAAACAAGGACTTGCTTCATTTCTTCTCCTGTTCCTCTACTTCTGTTCTACTGAATAATGCAAACCTTCTGGTCAAGACTTTATCAACTATTTATTTTAGTATCTCTTGTCTTTGTTTTAATTACCAGAGGAATGAGTAGAACTAGGAACGCTAATAATAAAGTATCTGTCTTGCTTTCTTAAGCCATTGGTATTCAAATTAACATTAATGAACTTATAAAAGTAATAATCTCCCTGGAATACCTCCTATATTTTGTTTATTAACCACATTTTTGTATTATCCTAGTCAACCAACTCTGGGTGTTGTTTTAAATCATCAGTAAAGACCATTGACATAGATTAACAACCCTACTCTCACCCTCTTTAAAACACTAAACATATTGGCCAATAAAACTGAACAGTTGCCCATTGTTCATCATTTGGAGTCAATAGTCTGTTGACAAAAGTATGTTTTAATGTTTTCCAAAATTACAGAAGAAGAGGACAGGGATATCTTGGAGATCATTCATACAGTATATAGGCAGCAGTCATTATAAAAATAAAAGTAGTATACTTCATTATATGGGTGCCACCACAGAAAAGGCCTCTCTCCCAGCCCATACCTCTCTTACTTCTGATAGGAGAGGGATCCTGAGAAAATCCATTTAACATTCTGTTCAAAACAAGCAGAATCATGCTGAATAAGGTTACCCCTTGGGTCCAGAAGCCATTGAGATAGATGTCACTCTGCAGCCTCAGATTTTGTAATTGCAGAATAAAAGGAACAGATGCTGCCTAGGAAACAGACAAGAGAGGCAGGAACCCCCAGTGGCTTAACAATCAGATGAGAAACTTAGGAAGCCCCAGCCCTAATGGATCAAATATTAATTGGCAGGAAGTTTGTAGTTTCAGACTTACAAGATTGATGGCAGTCCTCTCAAATTAACCAAACAGGAAACATGACTAGATGAACTGATTCTATTTTATTGTATGGCTACTTTAACAGAATCTTGAAAGTATAAGCTGCCCTTGCCATTTTTAATGGCTCGATTAGTTAGGGAGGGTCCTTCCTAAATTTCTTTCTCTGACTGTTAAGCCACTGGGGGCTCCTGTGTCTCTTGTCCAATTGTTTCTTAGAGAGCATTTCTTCCCTTCTGGACCCCCAGAGGTCCAGCAACCATTATCTTCTGCTGCTATTCAGCCAGGAGATATGAGTCCCAAGTCATGTACCTCTAGTTGAGCCTGCATTGGCAATGTATGATTGAGTATCATCAGTTACCTGTCCCCATAGTCTTATATAGATGTTGCGTAATGAAGAAAACTCCAAGCCCTGGAATACTCGACTTTGGAACAACCACAGATGCTAAATGCTCTCCCAGTAGATCAGCTCACAAGGTAGACCAAATTTATAACCAAAGACATGCAAGCTAATACCACTTTTATTGTAAAGCTACAGTAACTGTATTTTGCAAGTCTGAATGTGCTTCCCTCCCTCCTTCCATTTATTTTCATGAGAACTGGGGAGGATCATGTCTGAGATACTTTCTCAAATTGCATTTCTGCCAAGAACTCAGATTTCTTTTATTTGACCATTGTCTTGGTTGCAACTCTTCCTCCTGTTCCTCAAAGTTATTCCGATTACACAGTATAACATCCAGCATTCAGATAGGAGCAAAATATTATGGGGCCATCTCCACAGTGATCCTAATCCGTCCAGGTGGTTGGAAGGATATCTTGATCAATAATATTGAACTCTGCTAACTCTGGGACTGAGAGGAGCACACTCTTTCTATCCAAGTCCTGACAGAAGATTGGTGTTGTTTCAATCGTACATCCTGAAAACTGACTAAAAACTATTCATATCTGTGATTAGCAGCTTCACCAGTTTCCAGGGCGGAAGTTATCCCAACACAGCTGGTTCTTCAAAGCACTGGAGGACAAGATACGAAACTAATCAAAGAGAGAAGCAACTTGAAATTAAGGAGAAACTTCCTAACAGTGAGGACAATTAACCCGTGGAACAGCTTGCCTCCAGAAATCATGGGCTGTTTTTAAGAAGAGTCTAGACAGTCACTTATCTGAAACATTATAGGTTCTCCTGCTTGAGGGGACTGGACTAGAAGACCTCCAAGATCCCTTCCAGCTTATTCTATTCTATTCTTATTCTACTCCAGACAGTGTCTGCAACCACCTCTTTTCAAGAAAGATGGGGGCAACACGCTCTTCCTCTAAGACAAGGTCTTCAAACTTGGCAAATTTAAGACTTGTGGACTTCAACTCCCAGAATTCCTGAGGAGGAGGAATTCTGGGAGTTGAAGTCCACAAGTCTTAAAGCTGTCAAGTTTGAAGACCCCTGCTCTAAGATATAGAAACCACTTCTTAAATCCAGCCATGCTCATGTAAGCTCTTGTCAATTTTCAATCATTTTTAGTTCCAGAAAATAATTTTGTACATATTTTATATAAATGTGCTTTTTTCTGATGTGATTATAGGCTTACATCATTGATTGAACATCCAGTTTCATGAAAGTATAGAATTAGAATTAGTGATATTGGATGGGAGACATCCTCACCCCCAACAAAAAAAAAATAATCTTCCAGGTTTGTAAACAAGGAAGTCAAAGAAACATCTTGCAAACAGCAGTAACAAACAATATCCAGACTGTTGCCAGGAAAACTATCCGGTCCAGTCTGTGAAGTTAGGAGTCACACTTGACTTGAAGGAATTTTTTTATTTAATACAAAATTTATGCACTGATAATAAAACAAGCAGCTTTGACAAATCCATAAAAGAGTGTCAGGATTTGTGCAAAGACGAAGAAAGTTATGCAGTGCTATTCTTCCTGTCAAGGAAAAACAAAAAAGCCGTAATAGATTAATGTCAATTCATTTGAACATTTTGTTTGTGAAGAGAATAATTGAAGAGATGCTATTGTCAATAAGCACTGTGAACAGAAAGCCAAATTTAACATCTTCCTCTGGCTCCAAATAATTTACCCAGCCGAAAAAATTTTTATATGTTCAAATATATCGTCGCTTTTTCAAACCTGCTATTAAGATCTTCTCAAAAGAACACAGAAGGGCATTGTGAGAGTCACTGCCTCTTATGAGCTGCTAATATCTGTGTGAAGAATTTAAGAATTGGAACAGAAATCAAGGACAGACATAAGAATAAGGTACAGTCTGTTCCAGTTTTGTCTATATATGGCAATCAGGTACACAAGACATAAGAGTCGATGCAGAAATATATTGATGGTTCAATACTGTACATACTGTATCTATTCAAACATCATTAAGTTCTATGGAGCCTATTACCAGATCAATGGTGTAGGCTTGCAGTCTAAAATAAATATTTAAATTCTGCATATTTCTGATTCCGTTGAAGTTTTTCCATGCTTAAAATTGTAGATTTCACATAACTATTCCTGCAATCATCTGTAATGTATAAGATTTAAGACTTTCCTTTTATATAAACCAGCAACTACAGTCATTATATAATTTACTTCAGAAGAGTGATCCCACCGGATTTAATGAATCTCCTTTGGAAATAAATGGTTCAGAGGAACGTGCTTTAAATAGCATTATAGGAACTCGGATTGAGATAGGATTCTTAAAATTGCTGGTTTTCCATTCACAACCTTCCTTTTTCTGTTGTAGGTGGACGCATATGTTCCTTTTCTCCTTGCATTGAGCAAGTTCAAAGGACCTGCTTAGCTTTGGAGGAACACGGCTTTACTGAAATCACTACTTCAGAGATTCTGCTCAGAGTGTACAATGTTCGAACAATTAGTTTGCAAATCCCTGATCTTGGAAAAGCAGATGGTAATTCCAGCACTGGGCTTGATGGAGGCAACCTGTCAAATGAAGATGCCTTGTGTCCAAATCTTCAGCAGGAAACTATACAATTTAAGAGCGGTGTGCCACTTAAGGAAATGGTGGGTCACACTGGTTATTTGACCTTTGCTACTAAAAACCTATTTTAAATACAGGCTCGAGAGTGTTTCTGCTGTATGTCCTCTGAATGTAACTTTCCCAGCTCTCTGCTTCCAGAGCAATTCCATATATAGTCAGATTGATATTCTGTTTAAATAGCTAGACAGGAGCACTAGCCAGATCGGTCTTGGCAATGTGCTGCTGTTCTAAAACAGTGCTTGCCTAGTTGTCAGGTACGGAAGATGGACTGATAACTAATAGGTGCGGATTGGAATTTACAAAATAAAAGTCACATGAGAGAGAGTGTCTGTCTGTCTGTCTGTCTGTCTGTGTGTGTGTGTGTGTGTGTGTGTGTGTGTGTGTGTGTGTGTGTGTCTTTTTGACATTTTTCTCCCTCAGAGGGTTTGCCATAAGGATTTTTTTTCCAGGCCTGAATATTTGCTTTATAAATATAATGTTTTTTTAAAGAAGAATATGAAACAAGTCTAGTGTGACTTTCAATTAAGGCCATTAAAAACCACATCATATGGAGTAAACATGTTTTTATTCATACCCAAATAGAGCTCATTGTATGAATAAATTCTAAGCACAAATACAGATATATGTAATAAATAAAAGGCTATGTTTGCAACAGTCTCATCTCTTACTCCATCATCAAATGCTGTCTTTGTTTGATCATTCTTACATATAAGATTAAATTTTATCACTGCAAATGGTTTTAAGATTAAATTATTCTTGGTGCCTTCTTGCATTGAAGAGTTTTATCTCTGCAGATAGTTGATACAATGAACTGTACAAGATATACCCGCTCCAGGTACAGGCTATTTAATATATCTGCCTGAAATATGAAATAGATTTTGCCCTTTTTTTTTGACAAGAAAAAAACGTAATGAATCTTGGAACAGGTAACGTACAGCTCTGGTGCTAATCTGTAACAGTTTAACCACCGTGGGTAGCAAAGATAAGATTTAAAGGACGGCTGAGCAGATTAAAAATCAGGAAAGCATATTGTCTAAGAAGAGGCTGTTACACAATTGGCCTTATGACTGCTTTTCCCCTCAGAAGAGGTGAAAATCTTTATGGCACGCTTTAACAAAATACTTTTGTGGGAAAGTAGGACAAAAGTTCTTGTATCATTAGTAGGGTAGCACAAGGGTTCCCCTGCAAAGGAAGGGAAGGCTCATATTTGTTTAAAGGTTAGGCCAGCTGAATTAGAAGTGGAAGGAAGACTCCGCATAACCTGCTAAATCTCCTAGACCAGAGGGGTCAACCTCACAGCATCACAGTGTCGTTACATGACATATTGCGACTTTCCCCCCCCTTCACTAAACTGGGTATAGGCATGGCCAGCACATGACACATCCGGCCTGTGGGCCGCGAATTTGACACCCCTGTCCTAGATTAATGCTACAAGTTCTTACTTGGAATGCCATGTTCCTGAGGGTGGAATCTGATCACTGGGATGGCATCCGTTGTAGAAGTGAAGTATAAGGATGCTGAATGCATTATCTTTTAGCATTTAATAAAAATTTTACTTTAAGTATTTTATTTGGAAAAAATAACTAAGGGCACAGGACAATGGAAGTATGAATGGAGCACACTTCAATGTTAAGATGGGAAATGTTAGAAGAATTAGGTATATGATGTAGATTAGTATCATGTAAGAATAGAGTATTAAAGTAAAAGCAATGAATATGTCTAAACTATAATGATTATTGCACAAGTTATGTATACACAGATGACACACTGTTCAAATGAAAGATGGAATGTTTGTATAAATAAAATAAAATTAATTTTAAAAAAAAGAATGTAGCATACTTCATGATTTTTTTCCCATGGCTGCTTTGTTTCAGAATGTTTTAGCTAACTTTCCAAAGTCAAAGTATCTTTCTGTAAATGCAAAGTTTGCCACATATTTGAGCTCTCAAGCCCATTTCAAAATTCAAGAAAGTCTCATGAGCAACACCACAACTTGATTGACCTGGGGTGATTAAGAAAAGTCTCCACTGAATTGAGCTTAGCTCCAAGGGACTACTTTTTGGCATTAAGACAAGTTATTTGTGTTCTGAGATTCTTTTACTTCCTAGTCTAGCAAAAACTTGGATTTCAAGTTGTTCCACATCCAAGTATTAACTAAGGAAACGTCTCATAGCTTCCAAGGTTCACTTAAATTCTGCCAAGTTACACATTGTAAATAACTGCAAAATATCTTTTTTCAAGGAAGAAAGTGGTATGCCTCAAAAACAAAAACAAAAAAACAGAAAAATAGGCAACAACCATTCCTAAACACATACACAAAAAAGGGGGAGAAATTCAACACAATGAATTAGACTATGACACAATTGTGCCAAGAAGCTGCGCAGCAGCATCTAATCACACATATCCTGCTTTTTATATAAGAATAATGTAAATAAATTTCTTAGAGGATCTTCCATCTTGGCAATCTGCTTGGTTTCCTGTAAGAAATTTATTACATAGTTTTACGTCATTCATTCAACTGGAACACAAACACATACCCACCCGCTATGGTTTAGCCAAATCTTTGTGTAATGTCTTTGAAAAATCCAGGAGAGGGGATAAAATAAGATAAGTGGGATAGAAAAGTTGAAAGAAGGCAAAATTCTTTTAGGGAACTACAGACCATTCATTTTGATTCTGACACTTGGGAAATGCTAGTACATATCATAAAGAGATAAATTTGTAACCAACAGACTGAATTTGTTAATGATGAATCTTATCTCTTAATTAGATAACTCTTAAAAGTGTTACAGTGCTGTAACTTAATATCTTACACAAGGTTTTTTTTAAAAAATGCTTCATAATATTTTGACTAGCAAATCAGTTAAATATCATCTTTCCATCCTTCCGAGGTGGGTAAAATGTGGACCCAGATTGTTGGGCGCAATATGCTGACTGCAAACCGTTTAGAGAGGCCTGTAAATTATCTAAGTAAGTGCTATTGCTATCAGCTAGATGGTAAAAGCTGATGAACAGCTGGCCTGAAAATCATAATTAATGACTGCTCATCAGTAGTTTAGTATTAAATTGTATTATTTAACCAAAGGAAGGGCAATGAAATGTCTGCAAGAATACAATCAAGCTCAGAAAGGCCTAAGAACCAAACAGTTCAACTCTGAGCAATATATTCTCTTCTGTTGAACATATATTTTCCAAATCGCCAAAAGCAATTATTCAATTTTACTTTTGCATCTATCAGATCCTTCAGTACTGTATCAGTTCTAGCTACCACATTTTAAGAACAATTCAGACAATGTGAAATATATTCAGAAACAAAGCAATGGGGACAATCAAGGGACTGGAAAGTACATTCTATGAAGGGAGCTTTTAAAAACTGGGAGTGTTTAACCTTGAGAGGAAAAGACTGAGGTATCTGATAGCCCTGACAGATACCTGAAAAGATGTCACATAGAACAAGGTCAGGACCTGATCTCTTAACATTTCAGTGTGCAGGACATGTTACAGTGGATTTAAGTTACAGCAAGGCAGACTCCACTGAAGGTGGAGGGCAGGAGGGAATTTCCTAGCAACATAGTTTGACTGTGGAATCAATTATTCAGAGAAGGAGCAGCTCCCTTTAGTGTATGTTTTCTTATAAAGGTTAAAAAGGCATCTGTCACAGGCAAGTTTGAAGCTGAATTCTTGCACTGAACAAGGACAGGGCTCATTGGCCTAAATGGCCCCTTAGCAAGTTTATGGTTTTGAGTCAGATGCAAGAAATGGAACTCCCAATCACTGAATTAGTAAAAGGGAAGTTAAAAGGTTGCAAGAAGGAGTAATGGAGTCAGGGTTAATTTATTGCAACACAGATGTGGCTATTGAAAGAACTTCATGCCAAGAAGCATAAGCTAAATTCCACCTTATACATGTATTCCTATTACCCTCTCATATTCAGGGCACTACAGTTAATTGACACATATGCCAATTGGAGCCTGTATTCCTTTCCTTTCCTTTTTTTTCAACCACAAATGAAAGATTAAAAACCTCATTTAAAAAAGATCATTTTTTTAAAAAAATATTTTTTTAAAAGAAACCTCTAAAAGATGCATTCTATACATTTTTCTGGAAAAAAAATATATTTCATTTTGGGCGTATCTTGATTTCTCAGTCAGATAGTTTGTCGCCTATGGACTTCCTATCAGTGAGAAAAGAAAGCATAGCTGTTTTGTAAAGTGTGCTTTTGATTCAATCAAAAGGAATCTATTTGGTATGGATTTGTGATGAAATTAATTTCAAGGAAATATCTTTCAAGCTAAGATTCCTGGGAAGGACTCCTAGACAATGAATTTGCATATAATCCTTCCTTTCTCACATACATGTTCCTTACATTAAAATAATGTGCAATTCAAATATTTTGCATTGCTGATTTTATCAAAACCTTCCCCATTTCATTCAAAATATGGATAAGGAAGATGTGAGAGAACACCGAGGACAGCAAGGCACTGAGTAATATAATGTTTTAAAAGATAATATTGGAATAGAGGAGCACATGTCTATCAATGGATCCCTACCAGATTAAAGTAGAGATTCTGTTATTCTTCCTTAAATATATAGCCTATCTTAGCACTGTAGGTAGTCCTTGACTTACAACAGTTAACGTAATGGCTGTTCAAAGATTCAACAGTAGTAAAAAAAAAAAGTGACATGGTCATTTTTCACACTTAAAATCATTGCAGCATTCCCATGGTCAGGTGATAAAAATTGAGGTGCGTGGCAACTGACTCATATTTATGACATTTGCAGTATTCCAGGGTCGTGTGATCAGCTTTTGCAACCATTCTGACAAACAAAGTCAATGGGAAAATCAAATTCACTTAACAACCATGTTATTAATTTAACAAATGCAGTGATTCACTTAACAACGGTGGCAAGAAAGATTGTAAAAAATGAAGCAAAATTATCTTAATGGTCTCACTTAACAACAGAAATTTTGGGCTCAGTTGTGGTCGTACATCAAAGCCTATGTGTATAAACAGCACTCAAAGGCAATAATATTAGGTGTCATACAAACTAAAAGGAGTTTGTAAGAAAAGAAAAGAAAAACATTAAGTAACACGAATCAGTTAAATTCTCTTTCAGTATCTGAATGAGCTGAGAACAGGAGAGGATCGGAGGGAATCCCTTGTGCAGAAAAGATTAGATCCAGCCACCGAGATTAAGAATCTTGTTGGCTACAAATCTGATTATTTGTACATCTAAGGTAATGGGTCTCTTAATATCAGCTGTAGATTACTATTGTTATTAGTACCTAATTCCCACACTAGTTATGGTAACACGGGAATATTATCTAAGTGAACTTGTTT